AAGAGATGCGTTCAAAACTGGGAAGTGATGAATCTATATTCATATATTCGAAGTTATTAATTTTCTAATTTGTCTTCTCAAATCAGATTTCGGTAAGTCGAATGATATTTCGATTTCACGGTATGTTCTTGATTAATATAATGTGCACATTATCGGTGTAATATCTCCAACAATTACATCACTTTATAATGATATAAAATAATAATTTCTACATTATAAACAAATTTTAACTTATGATTCAGTTAATTTTAGCTTATAATTACTTTAAAAATCGATTGATTAATTTAACTTATAATTCAGTTATGTTAGCTTATAATTTAATTTAAAATCGAGTGATTAAATAAAATTTCGATTACGTAATCTAAGTACGTACTCGATTAGTTATTAAGACCTCATGGAATTTACAATTTACTTAAATCTCAAAATAACTATTAATTAAACTAAGTGATACAAGGTTTGGAGCTTTTATAACTTTTGCTCCTAACCTAAAACGCACTAAAGCGGACTATCTTTACAAGATAAATGCAAAACAATTTCTTAAGGCACCATATAATAATGAATAGCCTTCCACATTCTATGTTTTTTTATCAATATTGCATGTGTAATTAAAAGATTAAGTACAAGTTTTCACAAATTAATGTCACATATATTAATTGCTTTTATGATCACATAACTTGTTCAATCGAAGAGTGACATGTTCTTTGTAGTCATCAAATTCCAGCGCCCTCGTGGTATCAATAACGTTTTGTCCAGTGATACTAATGTACCCTTTTGACCTATTTCATCGATGACATACTATTTGAACTTGGTCGTACACTATCGGAGGCTCTTCTTTTTCCCCTATCTTCACGTTAACGTTGGCAAGTGGCACCAGTTTACAGCTAATCTTGGTCGAGGAGTGACCTTGGTCGTCATACGTTGTAATATTATTGTAAATAGGACCCGCCTCTGAAATGATATTGGAAAAAAGACGCCATCAATGAGATACGAAGGTATTAAAATAGTAATTATTGTTATTGTGGAAAACGTCCACATCTTTCATTTTTTGACATTTTCACCCCAATTTCCACATTTCATTTTGCAAAATGTTATTTTCACATATTTTCTCAATTAAAAATTATGAAATGACGAATATACTCCTCTCTTTAAATAAAACAAAAGGAAAAAGAAAAAAACTAATTACAATCACAGTCCCAATTTTTTTTAAAAAGCGCAACGAATAAATTATTAAAAGGGTAATTAGTACATAATGTTCATATCTTTCACAGTTATTGCGAAAAAAGTCCATATCTTTAATTTTTTGACATTTTCACCCTTAATTACACATTTGATTGTACAAATCATTCTTTCCATCCATTCCTATCAAATTTTTCAATAAAGAACTGTGAAATAATGACTATACCCTCTTATTTAAATAAAAAAATTATTTTTAATTTATAATTCTTTAATAATTTATTTGGGACTCGTTTGCATTTTTTAATTTTTAAATAAATTTAATTGGGACTCGTTTGCACTTTTTATAAAAAAATTTTAATAATTTATTGGGGACTTGTTTGTACTTTTAAAAAAATTGGGACTATGATTGCAATTAATTCTTTAACTTTTATTGAAATATGAGGGTATATTAGTCATTTTACAGATTTTATTGAGAAATTAGATGAAAATCAATATAAATGTCGATTTACGCAATCAAATGTTTGATTAATTGTAAAAATACCAAAAAATAGGTATGGACATTTTTCGCAATAACGCTGAAAGATAGAGACATTATATACTAATTACCCTTTTAATAATTCATTTAACACTTATTTGTGTGTTTTTTTTTTAAATTGGGATTGTGGTTACAGTTAGTTTTTTCTTTTTCTTTTTGTTTATTAAAGAGAGGAGTATATTCGTCATTTCATAAATTTTAATTGAGAAAATATGTGAAAAATGACCTTTTGTGCAATAAAAGATGGAAATAAGGGTGAAAATGTCAAAAAATGAAAGGAATAAACGTTTTTCACAATAATAATGAAAGATGAAGATGTTATGTATTAATTACCCAATATCCTACCATATGTAAAAGAGGCCAAGCAAATTTACTGTTCATAACCTGTTCACAGGTGGTGCAGCGGTTTCAAGGGCGCCTCTAAAGACATCTCGCTCGGACGTCAAAGGTTCGAGTCTTCCTGTGTGGTTTTTCTGTGTTTGGTTAATTTTTTCCAAATGAGGCAGTTTTTTCCACAGCCTCAGCACCCGACTCTGCTCTCTCCCTCATACAAAATAACTTCATAATTCCCATAAAATTGATCTTTACACTTCCAATTAGAATCCTCACCTCTTCGTTTTGGTTCCTACCCCTATAAAGGTGTTTTTTCCTCTGTCTCTGTCATTTGCTTTTCGCCAAGAAGAAAGGTACTCGACCCTCCCCTTTGTCCCCTTTTCGCCAATAAATCTTATGTAGGTTTAGAGAATAATTTATAGTTCCAGGGTTTTGTTTTGAGAGGGCGGTTTACCGATGGGGAGTACGGGTGAAGCTGATCGAAAGCGACGTCATATTAGCTCTATATCACCGACTGCCGCTACTGTGAAGAAACACCCCTTCGTGCCCATATCCGAGGATAAAAAGGTGAAATTTTTACTTTATTTATTTATATTTTTAATTTCTCAATTTTTTGGTTATGAATGTTATCTAAGATGTGCATCCTGCAATCAAATATCACAACTATTAATACCTCTTCGTGGATTCAAACCTGCGTTTCGTTTACTTTTATAACTTCAGGCATAATTAGTCAGACTACAGTTTTTTATGGTTTCTCAATTTCCCTGGGTACTTTTAACCATGGATGTATTTATCAGTCCCTAAATGAATGTTTTTTCTTGTTTCATTTTTGTTTTATAATTGGCTCAAGTGCCATTT